TATCTAAATAAATAATAATTAATATTAAAAATTAATAGTAATAAATAACTTTTAATATTAATCAAGAGTATAACTGAGAAAAAAAAAGGGCAGCTATTTTTCTGTCTATTCAAATAACTTTTCCAAAATAAATTCAAAAAATTACATTTATTTTTGAAAGAGAGTTTTTTAATATTAAAAATGATGACATGCACTAAAAGATTCTGCTTTTTTTCCTTTGAGATTTGAATCTCATATAATTCTGTTTATTTATTTTTCTTGTAAAACAGGCCGGCGGCTATCATCATTATTTTCAGATACACCTTACAATTTACATACATATATGGAGAGAGAGAAATTCATTCGAGTTGTAATAATGGTAAGATTCAATTTTAATTATAAATTAACATTTAAATAAAAAAATTAATAATTTTGATAATTTGACTTAAAATTTTGATCAAAGAGAATTTTAAGTATTTTAAAAATCTTATATATCATCTCTTATCTTTTCGTCGAACTTTATTCCGACAAACACATGATGCACACTACGATACGCTTCATAAAATAACGAAAAAACACAGTGTGATACACTTAGTAAAACAATATTACATAATATATTGTATTACACTTCGTAAAACAACAAAAATATATTGTGATACACTTCGTATAACGACAAAAATACACTGTGATATACATTATATATGATATCAGATCTGGTTGATGAATACAACAGTGTTACCACTATATTACACTCGACCTTACATCTCCAAAGAGATCCACTGTAAAATTTAGGGGCTGTTTGGCAGTTGCTGAATGATTTAGTGCAGAATAGTTAAGAGGTCAGAATGGTTGAGAGGGTCAGAATGGTTAAGTGCTGAATGAAATAATGTTGTTTGGTAACTGTTCTCTGAATGATAATAAATTACCATTTTAACCCTCTCTAACAAAAACCCATTATTCCATTTTAACCGTTAGGGCTCCCTCAAAGTTCCCTCTGTGAAGAATCGATCCATCAATCGTTGCCTCTCAATCGATCCCTCCATCGTTGCCTCTCAATCGATCCTCTCAATCGTTGCTCCTCAATCGTTCCCTCAATCGATCCCTCCATCGTTCCCTCAATCGATCCCTCCATCGTTCCCTCTGTGAAGATCGGCGACTTAAACCGACTAACGACCGGCGACAAAACAAAAGGGAACCGACGAGACCGAAGGACGAAGGGGCTTAACTGACAGAAGCGAGTCCGACAACGAAGATGGATGACAGGAACCGACGAGGCGACGACTTGGGGAGACGAAGGGGTTGTGGAAAGGGCGACCGACGACACCGGCGCCGGAGAAGATGGGGGAGGCGATAACTTGGGGAGACGACTTGGGGAGACGATGGGAAGGGTATTCATGGAAGAAATGGTACTCTGAATGGTTGAATAGGCCCCCACCCTCAAAATGGTTAAGAGGTCTGTGTAACGATTAAGAGGTCTGTTTTTTTTTGCCAAACACATTTTACCTCTGACCAATTCAGAGGTTGGCTCTTAATGTCACCATTAAGAGCCAAACAAACAACCCCTTATATATATATATAGAGACTTGGGATCATGTGAGACCAATGGTTTTTCATGAGACCCGTAAGACCAATTCTCAACCCTTGGATTAGATTTACAATCGTCAGATCTGAACATTTATAAACGCCACGAGACTTCTCAATAATTACAAAATTACCACCTTGCAAATTTAGACCATTAGATCATTAGTTTATAAATTTAATCAATGAACATAAATTGGTCTTACGGGTCTCACGAAAAATCTTTGGTCTCACGTGAACMCAACCCTATATATATATATATATATATGTGTGTGTGTGTGTATCATATATTTTGTATTTTATTTATTTGAAAGACAAAATAATAAAATGCTTACTTTTTTTAATCTTTTTACTAAATATTTAAAAATGTATACTTTTGTATTTAGTATATCACTAAAATGGTACTCACGTAATGCAATGAAATACATTTTCATTTTAATGTTTTGTTTTATTTTTTGTCTATGTTGATATAATACGGTTTATGTGGTTTTGAGAAATATATTGTTTTTACTTTTGAATAAAAATAAATTTGAAAATCATAAAAATTTAAAAAAATATATCGTTATTAATATCAAATTAACTATTCAAAATTTCTCCTTTTTTTGTACAATTTTTTTTATTATAATTTAATTTAGGTTAAATAGTGAAGTAATGTATTTTTGACTTAACAATAAATTATTTTATAAAGATAATAATTCTGTTAGAACTCAATGATTATCCTAATTATATTTTAAATTTTTTATATTTAAAATGAGATGTTTATCCTATATTTGATCATGTTTATCTGCAGTTAGTTATACGAATTCAAAAACTGAGCTTTAATAAGTTGTACTTACGAACAATTTACTTGTGATCTTAAATTTTAAGTAATATGCATTAATACACAGTATCTTATGCATAAAAAAAATATTTTTAAGAATTTTTATTAAATGTTCTATAATATAATATAGATATAACTATAAGTTTTATCCAATTGTATATATGACATTGATTTTTATTATATAATTATAGATTTTAAAAATATAACCAATAACTCAAAATATAATACGATGTTATTAACCTATGAAAGAAAAGGTATGTTTTTTAATCATGAATATTTTGGTCAATTAGTCCTAAGCCCTTTGGGCTTTGGAGAATAATCAAGAAAATCTCTAATGGCTTTGTAAGACTCGAATTACTGACCTATGTGGAATATCTCTAAAGCCCAAGCCTTATGGTAAAAAAAAAATGTATGTTTGTTCACAGAATATAATGATAATTTACAATGTATGTGAACATTTCTAAAAAAAGATGCATTTTCTCAACAAGAGCAGAGCCAACAATATAATCCATCGGGATTCACTTAAATAAAAAGTTACAGTTTTATAACTTACTTCTGACTAATAGAGCCGTTTGATGTCAATTGTAAGGGTGTATTTGTAATTTTTGCTAATTGAAATATGTTGTTAACCTTTAGAAAGATGGAGGTTATCTGGTTAGAGTTTTTTATATAAGTTGAGAGTCGTATGTAATTGTAATTAATCAAAATAGTGAAATTACAGTTTTCTCCCTCTTCATATTCAACATGCAGATAGTTTATTTTCTAACAGAACTATAAAAGGTGAAAACATTCGACTAGTCAATGTCAATCTGCCCAACATATACTATCATTTTTTAGACAAAACAAGTTAAGCATTTGCATATTGCAATATATTTGAAAACATAGCCATCAAATGTCAATTTGTAATGTTAAAATAAGCCTAATCCAACTTACGATTAAAAAATCATATCAAATATCCCAACATATTTTGAAACGATGGGTCAACAACAATTTCCCACAACATATCAACAATTTGGGATTCATTGAATCCTAAATAAGATTGACTGAAGAAAAAAAAAAGGATAGGCTTAATGAGAGGTGGGAAGAGGTGAGCAACCGATGAGCAACACGCAGGGGCAGATTTGCGTGACGTTAAGGACGCAACATGAATGCTTATATTTCATATAACTGTTAAACTGTATAAACCCAAAAACAAAGGTTTTTTATTCATAAAACTTCAGGAAACCTAAGATTGAGGACTTGAGGGTGTGTCTGGCTTAGGGTTTTGTGGGAGATTGACCTCTATATACACAACGATGGGTATAGGGCCTCTAAGCTTACCCTGGGCCAATGTTGGTGTCGCAAACGTTTGTAAAACACACACACACATGTGAGTGTATGTGTGTGTGTGTGAAGAGGTTCATTTGAGAAATGGTAAATATTTCAGAAGTAAAGAATTGAACTTAATCCTTCATATGGTTAAGATTGGACAAGAATTGAGATTTTGATTGGTCAAGCGAAAAATAGAGAGGTAGTTTCATAACTTTTACAAGTAGACGATAAACAAATGCATACGTGAATTGATAGTTCACGTGCAAATTAGTTAATTAGTTCATAATATGAATCACAAATTCATATGTAAATCTGTTAAATAGTTCATATGTGAATTACACGTGTTTACATATGAAGATATAGTTCATATGTGAATCACACGGGTTCACACATGTATTTGTTTTGTCATCTATTTGTAAAAGTTACCAAACTACCCCTCTATCTTCTACATATCATGCAAGAAATTATCTGGTGTTTCACAATCAAAACCGCAAATCTTAATCAAATGAAAATCTAGGATCAATTCTCTACTTTTCAAATACATACCACTTCTCTAATGAACCTATATGTGTGTGTGGACGGTTTTCCACAAGAATGAGAAATATCTTCATCTACCTTTGTCACATTTATGCACCTCCGTCCACCTACAATTCATAAATCTTCATTTATGTTCACTTACATATTTATATTACAATAACTAAAACTTTAATAAATTCAAGCATTTTAATGTAATTAAAGGTATACAAAAGCTCGTGAAGGTGGATTAAAATAGTTGGAGGTTTGTGTTTTTTGTCAACCATCAGGTAAAAGGTAATTGAAGGTCTACGTCTTTTTAATTACCAGTTGTTCTCGTAACAGTTCTCACCTTTTTCACGAATAGTGGTTGTTTTCATATGACCCTCAACTCTTTCTCTCTTTATGATTACTAAAATTCCCAAAAAAAAAAAATAACGTTCAAGGAGATTCTGTGTGCATGCATTTGTTTATCTAATACAGAATTCGATTGTCGACCGTGATTAACTGATGATCTGCATTAACAATTAAGATGGTTGGAAGTTTGGTAATAGCTATTAGCTAGTAGTTGCATCATCAACTTGTTTTCCTACTTTTATTAAAATTCTATATATATATATATATTTTTTTGATTAACCTGGATATCCAACTCGCTATGTGAGCCGAATAATTTTAGAACGACCACTTGCTTTGCAGATAGCCCGGAGTCACCGCGTTAAAACATCCGTGACCACAATTAATTAATAATACTAAATAATGAATACATAGAGTTTTGTAGTTGAGTTCGTGTATAACAAGAGAATGAATATATACACAATAATTAATCGAAGAAAATGGAAGTGCCGTTTAAGGAAACACAATGAGTATAAAATATAATTAAAAAATAAAATAAAATATTAAAATATGTATCCTAAGTTATTTCCAATAGAATTAATTGTAGTTGTATAGTGTTTTTTATACTCGTGTGTACAGGTTTAATTAATTTATCATAAAAATTAATATTTAATTATAAGGATACTCGCATGATGGAGCAAGATACATATCGATTTTAATATTTTATTTTATTATTTGTCTTTGTCGATATAATATGGTTCTACATGGTCTTGAGAAACAATAATAATTTTATTTTTGAATAAAATATAAATTTGAAAATATTATAAAACTTTAAAAAAATATATTGATATTAATATTAAATTAACTATTTAAAAAATTCTCGTTTTTTTATAATTTTTTTAATTCAATTTTTTATTACAATTTAATTTATGTTTAATAATGAAGTAATTTATTTTTTATTTAATAATATAATTTTTTATAAAGATAATAATTAAGTATTATGTTAGATATCAATGATTATCCTAATTAAAATTTTAGAGTTTGTATATTTAAAATGAAATGTTTATTTTGTATTTGATTATGTTTATCTACACAGTTAGTTACTCAAATTAAAAAAATTAAACTTTAATAAGTTGTACTTATATACAATTTATTTGTAATCTTGAATTTTATGTAATATGCATTAATTAACAGTATTTCATACATAAAAGAATGATTCTTAAGAATTCTCATCAAATGTTTTATAATATAGTATAGATAAGATGAAAATTAATTGTGTATTTTTATTTGATAAGATAGTCATCATCAATCCATAAATCAGTTGGAGCAGGAGATTAAGATTCATTAATCAAATCCCATATATAATTAATTAAAAAAAAGTCGGAACGTAAAAGCTTAATTTCCTAGTAATTGGCTTAATGGAGTCTCTCTCTCTCTCTCTCTGATATCGTCGTCATATCATATGCCTTGTTATCGGAGAAATCCAAGGTTTAATTTTAGCAACTAATTGAAGACCCAGTTTTCTTTGTATCCTCTCAACCAATTATGGCTCAACTCTTCTACAACGTAATTTACTTTTTTTTTTTTTTTAATTACCTTCTTCTTCTTCTTCTTCTTCTTCTTTAACTGTCTGATCAATTTCAGGTTTTCAATTATTGATTCAGATTTGAAGCTTAAAATTCGTATTTCTTCAATAATTCTGAGTCTTTATAATCTCTATTTTGATGTCTTGTATGAATTTTAATGGTATTTTACTTTTGGATGTTAATGATTAAATGCAGGGTATACTTGTGCTGAAACCTCGAAAAAAATGCTTGAAGATACTGAGAGCGTTGATATTAGTATGTACAATGGTGTTAGTATGTGGTGTTTACGTTTGTTTGAGGCGAACACACATCGAAAGAAAGAGGGAACTTTTCGAGTTCCAAGTAATCAAGAGGCCTCGTCCTAACAACCTCCTTTACCCCAAACGTCAAACCCTAAACAGGTCAAATCTTTGCACTTGTTTTTTGACATGTATATATATATATATATATATATATGTATATATATGTATAGAGAGAGAGAGAGGGGGGAGGTTGAGAGGAAAATCATAATAAAATGAACACCATGGACTTATGTATACAAGTAATTGAAGTTGTTTTTTGGTTTTTTTTATGGATGTTTGCATGTTATGCACACGTGTTTACCCAACAAATTGCTTATAAATTACTTGTATGCACATGTACATACAGTCTATATGAATTTTTACCAGGGTGTTGTTCGGGTTTTTTTTATGGGTTTTCCTTGAACCTGACCCTATATATGTATATATATATATATATAGTGTGTGTGTACATGACTCGAATGCTTGTATTTTCAGATATGTATGTGCTAGAATTCCTATGCATTTGTTTGTGATTGTTTCGATGCAAAGATCAGGAAGCGGATGGTTCGAAACTCTATTGAATAGTCATATGAATGTAAGTTCGAATGGTGAGATCTTCGGGCAATTAAACAGGAGACAAAATGTTTCATCGATCATAGAGACCCTTGATAGCGTCTACAATTTGGAGTTGCTTACTAGTTCGTCTAAGAATCAGTGTTCTGCTGCAATCGGCTTCAAATGGATGCTAAATCAGGTAGAATAAAAACCATCTTTTACCCATTTCCCGTTCCTCTAATCACCTTTCGACATGTGTAAAGGTAAAGCTGACATGTCGACGTCTAACATGTCATTTGTTTTCCAATCATGTTAATCAATGGTACTACGGGACATTATTATGAAATGCAGGGGTTGATGCAACACCCAAACGAGATTGTTGACTACTTCGCTAAGAGGGGTGTTTCGGTCATTTTCTTTCTGAGAAGAAATATGCTGCGGAGATTGGTTTCGATCCTTGCGAATTCGTACGATAAAGATGCCAAGCTTCTAAATGGCGTCCACGTATCTCATGTACACTCTCACCAAGAGGTACGTGTTTTTGTTTTTGTTTTGGTTTCCAAATCCAAATCAAACATCCATTTACACGAAGCTTGATCATATGCATGTACGTGTGTGTATTTGTGATAGGCTTTGACGCTTTCGAGATACAAACCCACGATCAATATAACGTCATTGGAATCGGATTTGGGTGAAATGGAATCAACAGTCATGAAGGCGCTCGACTACTTCAATAGTACGAGGCACATCATAGTCTATTACGAAGATCTCATCAAGAACCCTTCTTCTGTAAGCAAATACGAGTAGTTTGTTCTATTAATTAGTGTTTGATATCTTGGACTCATTTCGTGACTCGTACGATTGTCGTAGAAATTGATACAAGTGGAAGAGTTTCTAAAGGTTGGGCGGATGAAATTAAGTAGCCAGCAAGTGAAGATACACAAAGGAGCATTATCGGAACACATCAACAACTGGGACGATGTCAACAAGACTCTGAGTGGAACAATGTACGAGAGATTTCTTCGAGCCGAGTACTGATTGATCGACTCGTACTCGATCTACGTATCGTTCCAAAATACAAGGGTTGTTATTGGTTTGGATGACTAAATATGTATGTTTAGAGTTGTAAATGGCGATGCATAGGCTTTTCCTTAGTCTAAGTGATGATTGATTTTAATTTAGTTAGTTAATTATCAATTTTGGTTTAGTTTTTGGGGAAAAAAGTGATTACTGACAAACCTATCTGGACCCATGCAGAACCTGCCTCCAAGGACATTAGTGTGAGGTGGTATATTTTTTGGCTTATTCGGCAGCTGAGGTTAGCGAAGGGATGAGGGATCAAACCTGAGACTTGTCTTGTAATTTATATTTAGTGAAGTTAAATTGGAACTAAACAACATGATGGGGAAAAGTTTCAATCAAACACAACCCATTAAAAAGTATAATCTAATCCACAAACTCTTGCAAATTGGGTTAGTTTGGGTTGAAATAGACGGTCCGAGGGTTAATATTTGTTAGTTAATACATAAATCTTTCTATTTTCATAATTGTGTTTGGTTTTATTTCATATTTATTAATGTAATTTTATTTTATCTTCTTTTTGGTGTAGATTTATTTTAGGTGTCTCTTAGTTTAAATCTTGTTACATGTTTTAACGTATAAGTTTATTGGTCATTCTTTATATTTATTAATTGTTGGTTAAGTTTATGTTTCAGTAAGTTTTAGTTTGTTAGTAGGACACGTTAGGCCTGGTCTGGAAAACGGACTGGGACAACCATTTAAAAAAATATGAATGGGTCTCAAGTATATATTATATGCAATATGTCGTATAGTGTATCTTGAATCTCCGTTTTCAAATATTATTTGTTGTTCTTAAAGAATCCAAGTTTAGATTTGTTGTATTAGGCTTGTTCAAAAAATAAATTAAGTCCGGTTCTAAACCGACCCAAGCCCAAAAATAATCACCTCTAGTTAAGTTAGTAGGTTGTGTGTTTTAGACCTAATTTCAAATAGTAGCTCATCGATTTACCTTTATATGCTTAGAGTTAATTTATACTATATTATAAAGCATTTGACAAAAACTCTTAAAAACCATTTTTTATGCATAAAGTATTGTATATTGATGCATATTACTTAAAATTCAAGATTACAAGTAAATTATGCATAAGTACAATTTATTAAAGCTTCATGTTTGAATTCATGTAACTAACTACGGATAAACATAATCAAATAGAGGATAAACATCTCATTTTAAAATATAAAAAATCTAAAATATAATTAGGATAATTATCGAGTTCTAACAGAATCATTATCTTTATAAAAAATTTATTGTTAAACCAAAAATAAATTATTTCACTATTTGATCTAAATTAAATTATAATAAAAAATGAATTAAATAAATTATATAAAAAACAATAACTTTTAAATAGTTAATTTGATATATATATATATATATATATATATATATATATAAATTTATCTTTCTTAAAGCCACATAAATCATATTATATCAACAGACAAAAAATAAAACGAAATATTAAAAAAAAGATGTATCTCGCTGCATTGCGCGAATACCATTCTAGTTAGTATAAATGGTTAAATCGTTGAAAATAATTATTTTTTAGTTTTGTTTAAATCGTTGAAATTTCGGAAAATAAAGTTTTATTTAATAGCTAGTTTGGATTAAATCATCGTCTCTATGTTTATCGACCCATATGTTATAGTACTTTGTACGTTTCTTATTCTTTCTTGTCTAATTAGTTCTTACTATTAAAAAACCAAAACCAAAGTTCCATTTGCGTAGCTAGTTTATAATCTCGAACAAATTAGTGTCTGGACCATCGCTTCCCTGACTTCAATCCATATTATATACTCTTGCAATATAAATGAAAAAAAACATCAACACTTAAAACTTTGGGTCCTTTGCATGTGGTTCCCATCAACTCTTAGGGTTGTTTACCACTTGCCCGGCAAGTACTTAACGATAAAATTTAACACTATTATTTACTTATCTGATAAGATTTTAGTCCACCAAAACGACATCGTATGCAACAATTTACCCGGTAAACGCTTACCGTGGTAAGAGTCGTCACCCTCACTTACCAGGTAAGACTTTTGGTCCTTGTCTCACTCTTACCGGGTAAGATTCTTGGTCCTTACCATATTCATCTGGTAAGGTAACGTTACTTGGTAATCGCTTACCCCGGTAAGCGTTTGGTAAACGGTCTCTTACTTTTATCAACACCTTGCAATCGTTTAGCTCACATTTTTTATACTTATTGACTTAGATATTGAAAAAATTGTCAAAGATGATATGGTTCAAATCGAAAATAAGCAAGCCAAGCCAAGCCAAACCCAACACAAACATGAGTGCAGGCTGTAAAATATGTGAATGCTCCACCCCTAGGCTCTACTTGGTTAACGACAAACACCGGGTTACCTCAAGATGGTTCAGAATAATTTGTCATGGCTAAGTTCAAAACACATAACACAGATGAAGTTAAGACTCCAAATTTCACAATGATTTGAGAAACTCAACTATACAAGTTAATCTGGCACTTGGAATATTATGATTACCATATTACTTTGGGATCAAGATTTCTTGAAAAAGGAACATGTTATAAGACTATGATCAACATTGGTTGACTACTTTAGATTTATATCAAGCTAATATGCTATATAGAAAAAACATGCATAGAAAGTTATGGAAATCATACACCAAGAACTTTTACCGTGTTATGTTGAGCTTTCCGAAAGAATTTTTTATGAAATTGACCATAGATCAATTCGCTTTTTTGGGACCACGGATCCTCTTAAAAGAGAGGGGTGCCTTTTTCCCCGGTTCAAATCTGGGTAAAGATCCGCCTGGTTCCAATGAACCAGGGAATACAACCATCCTGTAGAAAATTTGTTGAATCATTAGGAATATACGTGGCACACATATATTACAGATCATATCATTTTGGCCCAGTAATCACCTTTCACCCGTGATCCATGAAACCTACACTGCAATTGCAGCTGACTGAAGATTCCTCTTTGCGATTTGGAAGGGGTGGTTACCATTTTCAATCAAATGCATCAATAGGATGCGATCAATATGAAAAATATATTGATGAATGCTGATAGTGTGTCATCATACATGCACGAACATGCGCCAGAAAATCTCACAATGAATCCAGTTTTTCTTATTAATCAAGTTCTACTAACATTCTAGTTTTTACCAAATCTGTTTAAACGAGTGTTACACGACTCTGAGAAAGAGTAATGTCCCGAGAAGAAGACGCAGTCCTCCAAAGTCACCATCATCCATTGACCTTCGCATGTCCCCATAATATTATAAGCACTACCCCCCTCACTCTCTGTGAACTACAAGCTAGCATGATAGAAATCAAATTCTAGTTTGTCCCGCATTAAAATCTTAACCCCATTTCCAATTTTGTAAGTCTAGTAAGAAGAAAGCAGCTACGGGTAGGCTTCCAGAGTTTGAGGAGCCAGCCAGGCGATGTCCAAAAGAATATAGCTCCATTATAAAGTTCCATTATGGGATGGAAATAGGGGAATAACTCCTATTTTTCCCGTTTTAAACTATTTGGAAGTTGCTTCCACGGCAAAGAAGAGTAGTAGGGCCCCTACGATGTTGGTGGGTCTCTAAAAATTTAAATTGATTGTTCTTAACTGTGGAGTTCTGATGGGATGCATTAGTGCTAGCATAATCGCACCCAAATTGATTCGTTCTTTTATCCTTGTCCATGGAACTTTGTACACGGCAAATGGAAAACTTGGTCTACTAGAGATCTAGCAAAACAAAATCAACCTGCAGTACTATTCTATCAAAGTGGGGAGGATAACATGGAGTTTCCATGTAAAAGATGGTATTTTGACCAGAGAGGTACAGAGGTAAGGTGGATTAGCTGTATATTTGGATTCTGAGTTATCTCAGACTACAGCTAAACCCGCTGCGATATTCTACTTCTCATTCGAATCAGAAAGTCAAGGGATCGTGAGACTATTGATAGTTGATCTCACCTGTGGGTATCTTTGGAAATATGAGAAGGTAATCATTAGAAACTGCAGGGCTATCAAATAAAGGCTTTAATGTGGAACAGAAGACGCATAGGTCATATCTAACAAGAGTGCAATATCGCACCACCTCCACGAAAGTCCAAACACGAATATCGTCCACCCGCAACTTGAAAAAGAATAGCTAATTAATCTTAAACCAAGGAAGACAGAGCACAAGACTAATCACTCCAGTCATATAAAAACCACCATATATAGGTGTCGAGCTATTAATTTTTTAAATAAAGAACCTTAAGAGACCACTCTGATACAAGTCAATACCTAGACAAAATAAAAGTGAAATTCCACAATCGATAGGGGTCCAGACATTTACATGTACAAATCAAATAATCATATTTGGTGCCTTTACTTGAGACTAATCATAATTGTCAAATTACGGCTGTGTATGTCAACCATCTGTCACCAACCACTTTTCTTCCTTGATTAGTTAGTGGCAGCTATCATTATTACCTCCCATCAATGTGCAATTTGAGCTATCTTTAGTGATCAGATATATTATGATACTAAGGCATCTACTTTAGTTCACCACAAAAAGGATAAGCCAAATAACACTAATGCATAAACTTGGAAAGAAATCAAGAGAATGTAAATGTTAAGAACTACGAAACTAAAACCATCTGCTCCAGGATTCCTAAATATTTTCAACCAGTTGTTCTAATCAGCACAAGGATACAAATAAATATGAAATCTAGAGCGAATAAGAACATATAAATATGTGTGCATGTGCGATCTATCTGAAGATTAAAAAGGTGTTACAATCCATTCAGATAAATTTAATTTGCCACCAGAGAAAAGTCCCCCTCATGTTGTTTCTGGCCCATCCTTTCCCTTAAATTTAACATCTTCTGACCCCATCTTATTCCACTATCAGATCTTGCGCCTTTCCTACCGAGATAAATTAGGTGAATATGGAAAAATTGCAGTAAATTCTCCCCCCCCCCCCCTTGCGATCTTTTTTTATTAGTTGCATTATGAACTCATATTCTCATGTCTTTTAAGTTTCAAATTCTGTGTCATCCTTTGTTCACCTATTATCTCGGTACCCTAATCACCTGAATTAACATATGGTATTCAAGCTACGAATCTTAATTCTAACATGAAAACACCCAACATATATTCTTTTTTGTAAGTTGTTATAATCATATTTTCGATACAACAAGAGTTTCAATTAAAAGATAAAGAATAAACAAATACCAGCTAATTCATAATGATTAGTGCCATAAACAATGTAAGCATTAAACTTCTAAGAAAACAATAAAAACAATTCACATCCAAGTATCATTACCAGTCTGACCATGACATCCCTCTTGACAAATTTATAATTATAAAACTACATGACATTTAAGCACCAAGAAATTTTAACAAATATTCAGATGCATAAAGAAGCACTCATTCCAGATGAATGGATGTGTGTACAGGACATAAATAAATGATGGTCTGATCAAAACATATATTCCTAATGGTATTAATAGAATGCCTGAAACAATTATATTCAAACATTTTATCAATCTCTGTAAACCCAATTAACCGTTATCCCAAAAGCTTGGAGATCAAGCTCAATAAAAGAGTTCATTTAATAAAAATACCAGCTGTGTAATTTTTTCCTTTAAGCTGCTAATCATCATTATTCAATTGAAGCTTCCATGCAGCGTAAACTAATTAAAATGCAGATAACAAGACGGATGCCTTTCACTTAAACTTTTCACCAAAACAGCTCGAATCTTTCATATGAATCATCTATGGAAGAGTAAACATTTTACTCGGTGGGAAGTACATGAAAAACTCTTGGTGGTGGAGGAAAGATGGTTGATCGATATTATAAGTTAACAATCTAAGCCGTGCCATCTGATACGCAAATACATAATTAATTAATATACTCGAACACCTGTGCTACCATCAACTAATTAAAAGAATGATTGAGCAACTTGAAAGGCCAGTAAGCAGTCAACGACCACTATAGGTTTACAATATTCATTCTTCATCAAAAGAAATAAAAAAATGGCCTTTCACCAAATGAGGACCCCAGAAGGCAGTACAAAACCATTCATTCAATTTATGATTTTCCCAAAAGCGTCACCTGATATCTTTATTTAGATTTTACTGGGATTACAGTTGACCAGTTAAAGATTATAAATACAAAGGATGGCATAGAGCAGCATCCATTGTGTTTCCTCCATTCCCTGCCTCCCTCTCACTATCTGTTTGACAGTTTCAGTAAGAATCCTAACAGAAGATTTCCCAAAACTTATATTTGCCTGGTCATGGCCCACTTCCCCATAAACTCCTTGCTGATTTTTATTTTTATCTTTGTGTGTAATAAAATCCTTATGGCTGAGGGAAGGTCGCTAAAATCCATGAAGAAACAAGACAATTTTCATCACCATAGAGGCAGCCACACACTAAATGCACACCACCATAAAACAAATACAGAGCATCTTCAGGCCTCACCCACAGGTGGAGTCCTTCGCGCTGGTTTTCCTGTTGCAGAAAAAAGAGTAGCATTCCCCCCACAGGCACCAACCAAAAGTGAAGGAGATGGGAATGCAAAACTAAAATTCATCAATGGATTTCGACCTACAATGCCAGGTAAGAGTCCAGGTGCAGGCCATTCTTTTACGGAGCACAGACTTGATACTCAATCAGAAGCATTGGATAGTGTTTCCAGCATTCATCAGTCTAGTTCAGAACACGATAATGATTTCCGACCCGCAGGTCCAGGCCACAGCCCTGGTGCTGGTCATTCGATACACAACTAAATAGCAAGGTTAGGGCCTATGGTCACTCATACTAAGCATACTCTAGCAGCGAGTTAGACATTACATCTCTTACAGATACTGGTTGTTATTTTGAACACTAAATTATTTTCTTAAATAAATGTCAGAATGTACACATCTCCTTCCCTTCGCATAAATGTGTTCAAGTGGAGAATGCAAGAATAAACCTCAAAATGAATGTAAAAGACCAAAAAGAATAAAATACATAAAACACAAACACCATGCAACAATAAAGATATAGAACAAAGTGAAAGATAAAAAAGATCAGGACAATTAGAGCTTACTTATTGAAACTACAAACTGTTGTGGATTGAAATTGAAATTGGAACTTGCTCTCAATTGAAACATTAAGCCATAATCCAGAATAGCAAGTTTTTTGAAATCCACTGCAAAAAGAAGAGCTCATAACAAATTTGCCACTTGACCAGATGGAACAGTTCCCTCTACAGTGCAGGTAAACAAGGGATGTCATGAGTTAAAATGGTTACTTCAATATTCTGCTAAATCCAACACTATAAATCTCCACAATATGTGCTTTTTAAGGGTTATGTCAAGATAAGGTCAGAATCAAATATGGGTGCCTTCACTACTACATCACCAAATGATATGAAATAAGATAAATTCTCTAACAGGGTTGTTTTAAACTAAGTGAGTCAAGTGCCCCTCAAAAGATTAACCTCCATTTCACTCACCTACAAGCATCTTCTTGTATATATACAATCCCTCCCTCCCATATTTAGATCCTGCAGTCGTTCAAATTTTTTACTTGGGAAACAGGGTCTCATTTAGTGCAAACGATACAATGTACTTAACTTTACCACCAACAGCTATATGTGGCCTTCCTTGGTATTAGCAGATCCAGGAGCACTGGTAGTCTCATAATATAATGAAGGAAAACAGTAAATTTTGAAGGTTGTACCAGATAATCCAAGTATGTGACTTTTTTCTCAAGGAAAGTTTCTGATTTTTGATACTCTTGGAAAGACCTATAGGATAAGACACATGCATGTCGTATTCTTCTATTTCTGCTTTTCTCAACTTCTTTCACCATTTACAAACCCTAAAAGCAAAATGGCGCAGTGCGGCAGTGGAGAGGCAATTGTTTATGTCACAAAATCCAGTAATAATGAAGATGATCGGTAAGTTGGACGCAATCGTACGTTAAATAATTATATAGTGCATGTACCCGGCGAGGGTACGGAAATGTTATAGCCGATCGTAATAATCCTAACCTGTAAATTATACTCCGAATCGCAAGGGAAGATTGAAATAGTACTCCATCCTCATGAGTGAATTGGCCGATGATCGCCGTTCCCATGCCAGCTACATCGGAACGCAATTCACCGTTTTTGCTTCGGATTTAGAAGATCAAGTTTTCTTCCATCATTCAAAATAAAATCAACTGTTGGGATGCATACAAAGAGGTTCGAATTATCCAACCAACGTTAAGAAAATCTCAACAAGGTACAACTATCTGACCCAAATTGCTGATAGTAAGTTTATTTGGGTCGGGTCGAGTCGGGTCGCTTTTGTTTGAAAACAACTCAGCTCTAACCCAATAGCTCATTCTTTTAAAAATTCAAATTTTCATTCTAAATTAAATTAAAAAAATAAAAATTTATTCCATCTTCATTCCCTGTCATTTTCATTATCATTCTCGTACCTGAATCAATCACCCCTTAATTTGTGGATTATCTCATATTGAGTTTTTGGGTTAGATGGTGGGTTCTAAACATGTTTTAATGCACCTTTAAATCTTAATCAATCAATTAAAATACTATATGGAAATGATCTAACAATCCTTTGATATTAACGTACCGATCATCTACATGTTTATGTCCTTGTCAGTCTCGATCCCATGAATCGCTCCAAAACATGAACCAGTCCCGGTTCTAGTCCTCTGGCAGTCACGGGACGGTTTGGCCATCACTAATCAAAGGTTTGGAAGTTAGGAATTCTAGTACCAATAAGGGAGCCACGGTAATGTCATGACATATACCTGATAATATGTAGTATTTTATGTATTAGATGTGTCGATTGTATTTATGTATGAATCATTACATGTATTGCTATGATTACTTTTGTACTTGAGAATTGAGGTTACAATTGATATTTGATTCATAAGTATCTCGTGTTGACGTTTTTCAATTGATGTGATACTACTGCATGTACATGATGTGGTTTATACAACTATCCTTTTTGTTATGACAAGGTGTGATGTTTTATATAATTTAAAATGGCATTTGATACAAAAACTATATAATTAACAAAAAAAAAACAGACACTTTAAAAAGGTGTTGCATTCATTTTTTTAAATTGAAAATTGAAAAGATGTTGAGCAAAATCATGTGGTATTTGGGTTTTACAATACATATTACATGGTATTAAAAATGGGTACTCAAAGGAAAAGACTCTAAGGCCCAAATGTTAAGATTAGCAGAGGCCCGTCTTTTTTTAACCAATAGTGAAAAGCCCAACGAAGCCCAAAAAGGAAAAAATGGAAAAATCACGTCTTTAATTTTTTTAACATATGTAGAGAGAAAAAGAGAGAGGCGATTTATTTTATATATTATGTTATTATTATAAACTATATAAATCATAATTAATAATTTATATTATAAAAAAAATCATAATTAATTAATTATGATTGAGATATATATGAAATATGATAATTTTATTCATTATGATCATGGTTTTATATTAGCAAACAAAATAGAATCATATATTTATTAGATTAGATGGATAGTTAAGATTGGTTTATAAGCCTTACACGGTTTTTTACTAATTTGAAATAACCGTAAGATCCAATTACAACCATAAATCAAAGTATAAATTAGAAAATTACTAACTGGCTTAAAATTTTAATTAGAGAACATTTTAGGTATTTTAGAAATCTTGTATTTTCTCTCTATGATAAACACCACATGGACACAAGATACACAATATGATACATAAAAAACATCGTCACTGTTGAAAAAATACATACAAATGATTCTTACTGTGAAATCCATGATAGATAGATACGATATGCACACTGTGATACCCATTGTATATATGTGATACCCACTATAATATCCATTGTATACATGTTGTGATACCCACTATGGTACCCATTGTATATATGTTGATACTTGATACCCATTGTGATACACATTCTTTAGACACCAAAGTTGTGATAATAACAGTGATACCCATTGTTTACACGTTGATACCTACTGTGATACCAATTTCTTACAACGTGTTTACAACAACAAATATTAATTTCGTTAATACAAAATGGGAATATGAAAAGAGAGATAGTTGTTAGATATCGAGATAAAGAGATAGTTGTTGAATAATCTAATTAAATACAAAATGGGAATATCAAATTACTAATTTACCATTTTACTTTATTTTAATAAATAACATTAATTATCTTAAATAATTGACTCAAACTGGATCTCACGGTATCATAAACTATCGAACTCTCATTTGATTAGGCACTTAAATAAAGGGGTTTAAAATAAAAAACAGTGTTCAAAAAGGCGCGTCATGGCATGGTATGGCGCAAGATGCTTCTCCGCCATTATGAAATGATCCATAATGTTTCTGAAAGGTGGGGCTCACGCCATGGCTCCTTCGGGATTGTCGCGGCGTTCATTTTTTGTAAGACGTGATTTTTTTTTCAAAAATTCTTGTAGGGTGCGTTTGGTTTGCGGGATTGGAATGGAATTGGAGGGATTTGGATTTGAAATCCATTCCAATCCTGTGTTTGGTTTGCCAAATTGAAGGGATTTGGAATCCTGGGATTTCATTAAAATCCATTAGCCGCGGGTTTTGGAAATCCATTGCAAACTAGCGGGATTTGAAATCCAAATCCGGCCTTCACCCATCGCTTCCCTCCCATCGATTGCTTCACCCACGCCTCCTGCTTCCTTCCCGTCGCGTCCCTTGCGAAGCTGTGCCCTAGGTTTGCCTCCTCGCCGGTGCTGTCTTCTTCGCCGGTGCTGTCTTCCTTCCTGTTTGCCGGCGTCTCCCATCACTCAGCAGGTAATCGATTAACCCCTTTTCTATAGCATTAGAAATGCTCGATTCTGGTCTGACGATTTACACTTTTATAGATTTATCTAATCACATCACTCACAGTTTATTTAATTCATAAAATCTATAGACTAACGATTAAAATGAAATTATAAAATTACTTTTATAGGTTCTATTTTAAATATTTAATAAAAAAAAACTATTTTTATAATAATAATGTATATGATTTTTCCTCTTTCAATATGAATGTACAATTTTAATAGCATTATCCGATTAGATAATATATGGAAGACATATATATAAATATATAATTCTATATATGACATACAAATTTGTCGCCTTATGTCACGCCTTGAAAACACCGTGTCCTCGTTGTGGCTTGTAAGGCTTGAGACTTGATCTCGCCGCCACGTCTCACGTCATTTTGAACATTGATAAAAAAAACATTCAATTTCTTATAAATCACGATCAATACTTGTATTAGAAAATAATTGAGATATTTATGAAAGATGATAGAGTTCATTCATTATGACCATTGCTTTTGATTATAAAACAACGGCGTAACAGTTTATTGATTTGAGCAACTTCAACGCAAAATATTTAGAGAGAGAGAGAGAGGAAGATTCAAATACAAATCAAAACAATATTTATGATTCGAACGACTTCAATGCTACATATTCAACCTTATTTCTTTATCATCTGAGATCCATGTAACAGTTTAAAAACCTTAACATGTTAGACCATCTCTAATCCAAGCACTAAAAATGATGGATCAATTGAACACTAAAAAACTCAACTTCAACCACACACTAAAAAAACACTAAAAACCTTTTTTAATATTATAATAGTAATAAGATAGTATATGTATTTATAAAAACTTAATACTGTATGAGTAGATCATCTATAGAGGTCAATTTTTTTAAAACTCATTTGATAAAAGAGGTATCAAGTCCCTTATAAGA